TGAGCAGTGTAGAGTAGCACTTGTTGTTTGTCATTTCTCCGATCACAAATGCAGATATGGTTTTATGTTTACGCAGCGTAAAGTAATGTTCTTTTTAGCAGCATCATATGACCCCTTTAATAAGTGTTTTATAAGTACTAATAAACAGCCAGTATGCTAGTAATATGCATGCTAACAAGCTAGTGAGAATTGGTCCCTAAACTAAAGTGCTATCAAACTGTATTAGAAATTATATTAGCAGCATAACAATCTGATTAAAAAGTTAAATTAACAAAAATTAACATAATGTAACATGATGTTTGTTGTTTAAAAATTGTGAAAATACATAAACATTTTGTTATGCAAGTAATGTAACATGACAACATAACATTTGTTTTGAACTGATAAAATTAGAAAAACATTCTGTTAGGTAGCAACATTTGATTGAATTTGCAAAAAATACAAAACATTCTTTTAAATAATATAATATTTCTTATAAATTGGAGAAAATACACAAAGTTTAAGTAACAACATTTGAATTTAAATTTAAAAAAATGCACAAACATTCTGTTAAATAACAATGTTTGATTTAAATGAGTAAAAATACAAAACATTCTTTTAAGTAACATAACAATATTTCTTATAAATTGGCAAAAATACAAAAATCTGTTACAAAACAATGTTAGTGTTATTTTAGTATCACTGAGATATTTGAATATTTTGAATCAGCTTTTATTTTTATATTTTCCGTTTGCAGTTTACTTTTAATGTTTTTGTTTGTCATTTTTAGTATTTTTTTGGTCTATATATATATTATTTATTTTTATTACATCAACTTTAAATTAAAATGAGAAATGTTGCCTTTGCAGCTGAAATAAATTTCAAGTAACGTTTTAAATTTTCAGTTTGTTTTAGTTTTAGCTACAGGGGTCATATGACATTGCTAAAAAGAACATTATGTTGTGTATTTGGTGTAATGCAATGTGTTTATGCGGTTTAAGGTTCAAAAAACACATTATTTTCCTTTATGTACATTATTGTTGCTCCTCTATGCCCCGCCTTTCTGAAACGCGTCGATTTTTACAAAGCTCATCGTTCTGAAAAGCGAGGT